AATGACCTCCGCCAGCACAAACTTGAATCATAAATTTTTTAACAGACTAAAATATTGATGTTCTATTATTTTCGGAAATACATCCGACAAGTAAAAACAATTTTCTTATTCCAAAATTTAAACCTTACTTTAGTAACCAGGATGTGTTAATGAAAGTCAGTAATAAACATCATGCATTAGAGGAATATACTGCTCCCACCTTCAAGTTACGTGTAAAAACACATAATTTGAAGCCCAATATTTGAAGCTCAATATATTGAATTCTATAATTTACTGGGTAAAAAGACAATATCTGCCGGGGATAATAATGTCAAATATACTTACTGAGGTTCTTCTCAAACTCGCTGCTGCTATTTGGGTTTGTATCCATAGGTCAATCAACTTATTTCCATTTAATATACAAAAAAGTCCGGACTTTATAAATTCGGAATAACAAAAAATATCTTCTAGCATCAGATTTCTGCACATATTCAAGTACCGTCACTTTATCAATAGCCACACCGGCATATATTCAATCTTTATTTATAAAACTGATATTGAGACAACTTTGGAAGAATTTAATTCTACACTAATATTGGTAAATAAACAGGCTACGTCTATCGCTAGGTTCAACAAGTCACTGGGAAATGTGGTAATAATTCCACTACAATTAAACATTTAGTAAAAACGAAAATACGATTAAGACGAGTATGAGACAGATTTAGATCGCCAATGTCACAATTCAGTTACGATATAAGCTTGATATTTTTTAGACAAAAATATTCTAGATTTCTGCTATTCTATTCAATAGTGCTGATGCTAAAAGAAAGACTAAACCTGCACTAGAAGAAGATATGGATAGCACTATTAAGTTAATTCAATGTGGATTCAAACTATTTGCGAGCTTCACTGTAACCTTTGACTTTGATATATGAACTTATCAGATTTTATAGTAAGGAAATCCAGCAGGTTGTAAAAACTAAATTTAATATTTTGAGATCTGCAGATTATGACTTTATTTTAGCAAAAATAATATATTCAGTTAACCTAATTTTTCGTAGACAGTTGAAATGTATAACTAATAATCATAATACTAAGACCTGGTAAGAATCCTATATTGGCTATATTACATAGACCTATAAGTCTTCTTTAAACTCTGCTAAAGTTATTTGAGAAAACACTTCCGTAAAAGCTTTCTCGTTACATACATTTAAACAATATAATTTCCCAACAACAATTTAGATTTTGATTAGATTATGTTATTGTAAAGCCAGCGAATTGCCTTACAAACAAAATGCGTACAGCTTTCGAAGACAAAATATAGTGCTTTGGAATTATACTTGATGGAGTTTAAGCATTTTACAAAGTATGGCATAAAGTCCTAATTTACAACATTAAATTATTATAAGATATATAGTTCGTACTTAAGAAGTGAGGAAAACTCCACAAAAGCCTCAAAATCTCTGTTATTTTCGACCTTAGAACAGTGTTCTGGAGCAAGTACTATAAGTTTTATTTCCTTCAGACTTATAAAATAACGTTCAGGTTAAGACTTCCACATCATGACATAGCCATTATATGCTCTTACCTCAACGTACATCTCAACCTTATCAAAACCCGTTATTAAAACTGGCAAGATCTGTGCTCCTAAATTATCTTTAATGGTACCACTATAATGAAAGCGAATATTTTTTCTTAACACTACCAGCTAAAATTATAAAAAATTCATTGGTTACTTTACAACAATTCAAAGAGCTATAGAAATTTTAGAATATAAAATACTTCTACACATCGTTTTAGTCAAGCTTATCCAGTTTAATGGATGATTCCTTTTTATGTTTTAGTTACACATATTGAAGTTATATGATAATAATACAGGAAAAGACCTGTGGCATGTCATGCTGAGATATTCTGGAAAGACGAACATGATGTTACTGTTATCCGTAGTCTTTTAAATAAAATATTGTGCGGTATAGAAAATCCCTTTTACTAGTTATGAAAAAGTGTTTTCCATCGTGATGTAGGCATATCAACTATCAACAACGTGACGAAAAAATTCTCCATTCCTCATTTGTTAATTCCAAGCGAATGCTTTATATAGACGGCTAACACGAAAAACGGTGGTAGACCTAGTGGAGAGGGAGTATTAGAAATGATTTATATGTTTTATGAATACGAAAAATAAAAATGTCCTCAACTAAATTGTTCCACTAAACTGATTGGTTAGAATCCTTCTTTTTATATAAAAATTGCAATAATTAAAACACTCCATGTATTGTTTGAGTTTTCTTACAATAGAAAATTTTGTAAGCTTATGAAGTAAAAATATGATTAAGACTTGATATGATTAAAAATAAAAAAATATATTTAATATAAATTTTATATGAAATTACATACAGAAACGTTAATAAATTACTTCTTCCACTTAAAATTAATTTGTTCATTTAATTCTGTTGATTATCACTCGTAGTGCCGGTGGTATTCGTACTGATAGACTGTAGCTCGGTTGATTTCACAACCTTCTTCGGTTTTCTATCATTGAAAATGAGATTTAACCAGGCATTTCTGGGCAATTCGTCCAATAAAATAAAATAAATAAATAGAATGAAGCCTTGAATTGTTGCTGTCAAACAGAAGAGATAAGCAAACACAATGCCGGCCTTCATGAATGTAAATATCCCAAATATCCATGAGAGTCCTAGCAAAAAGAAGAGTAAAATAGATAGACGTATTTGTTTCACGACCATTTTACGTTCCTGTCGCTGTAACGTTTGATTAAGTGAGTGTGAAATGCTATAGAAAACATAAATGAAAATAATTAAATTCGCCAAGACAATCAAAGAGACAGGCAGTATGACGCCAAAGTGCAGGCCATGTCCAGATGGATAACATACACCGCTGTCTGTTCGCAGTTGATACGCTGTTGGTACATACGAATGTGGATCAATGCATAAGACTAAAAGTGTGGGAATAAGTGGCAAACCCCAGGCAGCTAGTGCTGATTTTAAAATGTAATGTCGAGGACGTTCGATGCCAATCACAGTAACGTAACGTTGAAATTGCAGAAAAGCAATTATTAACATCCATGAGAACAACACCAAAATTGAGTATTGCATTAAAGCACCGAGTGCCATACAATTAGCGTAGCTGCCCTCCCTGACCAACTCTTCAGCCATGTCATCAGTATTCACAAAGATGAAAAGCACCATTTGAAGAGTTAAAGCAGCACACAAATTAAGCAAGACTTTGGTTGAAGCCAATTTGCGCCAACTTTTGAAAATCACTGCAGTTAACCAAATACCCAGTAAGCCTAGTAATGATAATGTACAACCTAACAGTGTTATTATATCCAATGCACGCTGATTAGCAGGGGTTATAAGCACTCCTCCGTTCAAGTCATTTTGCCTATAGCTGCCACCAAGCAAAAATGAAAAGGGAGTTAGATGATTTGTTCCACACAAAATAACAGCTTTATCCTGCGTTTGCTTCACAATGCCTTGACTAACCCAAGTAGAATAATTCCAGTAACCGCAATTGGAGCTTATGTTTGAGCTAGTAGCAGTACCATAATTTTCATTCCGTAAAATAAAGGGTAAGTATTCCGGAAAGGTGACTAAATGAAATTAAAGCAATTGATATTGATTGATTTAAAGAAAATCTAAACAAAAGTTACCTGAATAACCCGGTATGGAGATCGACAATATTTTGCTGAATGGCTTTTGTGTCTGCACTTCACTTTGTTCCACAAAAAGTGAATCATTCGTATATATCTTCAATACTATTGTGGCTGGCTTATTTGGTTGCACGATATTTGTACGTAAGTATTCCCAGAGCGATAAGGGCACAAATGTTGCCACTTGTAGTCCGATCTCATGCATTAACTCATTTGCTGATTCATTCAAATAAACAAACCGAAAACGAAATTTTCCGATAGTGGTATGCATTAGAATGGTTGGTGACACAGTTGAGTGCACTGAGGTGCTATAATCATAAATGGCCACACCCGAAATATTGGCACAATCGGGGTTTATGTGAATAACAGTGATATTCGTTGAGATTTGTGCAAGCACACCAATATGCGCTCGATCAATAGTCTCCACATGATGAGCGATGTGTGTGCTGTTGGTGGCTGTTGTGTTTGTTACTACTATACCACAACGACTAGTTGGTACAAGTTCTGAGGACAGGCTATCCATGTACCTTTCAAAAGTTTCCAATAGCTCATTAGTAGAATTTAATTCAGCAGTTTCACGTAGTATACTTGGATCTTTCGTCATGATGGTATTGCATATGCTGATCACGTCATCAGTTAGTTCAGCATCGGCTCCTTCTGCTGATACTGCCTGCAGTATTTTATTTGTGAAATGCACATCAGCTGGCAATATTTTGTAATCCGGTTGCTCTAGCAATATATTGACATTTTCAGTAACTTCTTTCCGGCCGGCTTTTCCTTTATGCAAGCGTTTATTTTCCAAAATTTCATTATGCAAAGTATTTAGTTCCGTGCTTATGATCTTTTCACTTGTGTTTCGCAGACACAACATGTGCGACTGCCAGTTCACATGACTATCCCATTCTGCAATACTTGTTCTATTATTGTATAAACATTTCAGTGTGAGGGGCATGCCGTTCTCTCTCAAACACAAATCATGTAAGGTGACTTCTTCTCCAATTTTACCGCGCTTCCAAGTATTCAACATTTCTCGTACTCTACCGCCTCTCATAAGGTAATTATGTCGAAATTTTTTGGGTTCACAAAACAATGACGAAGTATTCTTTTTATGATTATTTTCAGTTACTAGTACAGGAGGTTCAGGAGGTTCATGTTCCATTGGAAATTGACCCCAATAATGTTTTCTTATTAATGGCTCAATTTGCTCTTCTTTACTTTCTCTGGACTCTGGAGTTTTGTTAAAGTCTGTTATGTTATAGTCTTGCATTTCCCGAATTGTTACTTTGCGACCACTTGTAAAAGAAATCACTGCAAACAATATTAGTATCTGAAACTTCATTTTTCAAGCACTATCTTATTTCTTTTTGGTTGGCTCTAAAAATGTGTATCTTTATAAGTGTGTAATTAATCTTTTATAAATTCGCTTTTGTTTGAGTTTATTTGTGGCTTTAAGATATTATCATTTTTTGTATTAATCACATTTTTGTAAATTGTCTACTCGTCAGTTATTGTCGAGACGTGCAATGCGAGGCGTCCGCGCTCGATACTTAATTTGAACTAATTCAGTTATTCACTTTACCTGAGTTCAGAGCACCAATATTTGTGCTGACTTATGTTCTCAAATACCTTAACATTTTTTCTGCATATTTGCTTAAACAAATCGATGTTTACTGAGGTAATAAATAATATATAATATAGTAAAAAATGTTTAATGCCGCACTTATCAAAGTTCTTGATAAGTAGTCTTCTTTGTGGTCAGCTTTTTGTTGGAATGAGTAAGTCACTTCGCAATTGATCGACACAGTGACGTCACTAAGTTTTGTTATTTATTTTTATTTAAGTTGAAAATGAGAAATTCACAACAACAAATTCACAACCATAACAAATATATAATAAGTTGCAATTATTTATGTGAATTGCTATATTAATAATCTGACTAAAACTACTACCGGTTGAGTACAAATTTTGTATAGTTTCGTGACCCTGACTTCAAAATATAATTTTACTTATTATATTAAGTAATAGACTATTACTAATAGTTGATTAACTTTGTAACAATTTTATGCTAAGTACAGAGAGAGAATAAGAGAGTGAGAAAGAGACAATGAGAGAGGGAAAACAGGGAAAAAGTGAGGGAAATAACATTGTTTATTTTTGATAAGAAAAACCATAAGGTATATATGCAACCATATAAATAGTAGGGCGATATGAGTTATTTTTAATATTTTTGTTTATTAGTTAATGAGCATTCGTCTAATATTAGTCACAACTAATATGTTCTTTGAGATTTTTATTCGAAACAAATGTTATCAATTGTGAATAAATGGAAAAATGGTGCATACTTAGAACTAATTTCACACAAGTAGGTTCGTACAAGATTTAATGCTTAGACTTTTGAAGATATATAAAGCTGACACTAGGTTGAACCCAGGCACAGGTTGGATGTTGTTACGTTAATTATATAAAACTGTAGCTGTTCAAATGATTATTGATAATATATTACAGTATTTTTATGATTTAGCAAAATATTTGGGATTGTAAGTATTGCAATATTTCCAGATTTGTATCTGCAGCAGTACCATGTTTTTGTGGTCCATATATTCAAACGGTTTTTAATATACTATTATAATGCAGAAGCTTGAATTAAACCAATGGCAATTTAGTACACCGACTGAAAGATTAATTTTTTTATTTAAAGTTGAGACCATTTCGTTTTGTAAAAGTTTGTATTGTCCAAAATTTTGTTTCATCTACCTGAAGTAATTTAATTCAATAACGATTTATTATATCGACTAAATACCAGTCGAGTAAACAATATGGTATTAAGTATTAGAACCAATACGCAATATATCGTGTGGTGAATACTCAAAAATATGTTATTACTGTCAAAATCATTTGTGTAGAGTCGTTAGATATAAATAAATAAGTAGATTAGCTGGTGGTTAAAATGACCTTGATGGACT